ACCCCTTCAAGAAAAAAAATAAATATACATGTATGTATGTATTTATATATATATATACACACATAAATTTAAAAAGAGAGAAAACTCACTGTTTGGATGCCCCCAGGCCCACGTGGAGGGGTGGGTGTTGTGCTGGGAGAGGACACCATAAATTGTGAGTCTTGGGCGATGGGAAGTTGAGCGATGGGACGGCTCAAGGGTCAAGGGTCAAGAAATTATATTTATAAAATTTCGGAGACAACATTGTTCCGGTCTCCGTCAAAGGAGGGCTGTGTCAGTCCACAGCATCCCACAACCAGTAGTCCATCAAGCCTGCAAGAAGTAGCTGGTAGCTATTGCAGTCCCCCTCCGTCAAAGGCTGTTCAGTCTCCGTCAAAGGCTGTTGCAGCCACAGTCGACGCAGAGCTCTGCGTCAGTCCACATCATCCCACAGCCAGTAGCCTGTCGGTCAGTCTCTCATCCGGCTGAAGTAGTTACACCAAACAAAGAATAGAGTTTTTTTTACTTTGTTCGATAAATTGTGAGTCTTGGGCGATGGGAAGTTGGGCGATGGGATGGCTCAAGGCTCAAGGGTCAAGAAATTATATTTATAAAATTTCGAAGATAACATGGTTCCGGTCTCCGTCAAAGGAGGGTTGTGTCAGTCCACAGCATCCCGCAGCCAGTAGTCTGTCGAGCCTGCAAGAAGTAGCTGGTAGCTATTGCAGTCTCCCTTCGTCAAATGCTGTTCAGTCTCCGTCAAAGGCTGTTACAGCCACAGTCGACACAGAGCTCTGCGTTAGTCCACAGCATCGCGCAGCCAGTAGTCTGTCGGTCGGTCTCTCATCCGGCTGAAGTAGTTACACCAAACAAAGAATGGAGTTTTTTTTTACTTTGTTCGATAAATTATGAGTCTTGGGCGATGGGAAGTTGGGCGATGGGACGACTCAAGGCTCAAGGGTCAAGAAATTATATTTATAAAATTTCGGAGACAACATTGTTCTGGTCTCCGTCAAAGGAGGGCTGTGTCAGTCCACAGCATCCCGCAGCCAGTAGTCTGTCGAGCCTGCAAGAAGTAGCTGGTAGCTATTGCAGTCTCCCTTCGTCAAATGCTGTTCAGTCTCCGTCAAAGGCTGTTACAGGCAGA